CGCCCTCTCTCTCCAGGACCCAAGACCTTACTGCAGCCACCGCTCATGCGCAGAGAAGTGCGACCAACACACCCACCATGGGCCGCCTCGGCAAGTTAAAAATAACTTGCATACTTTCCATCCACCATCCCCCGACCTCTCGACCACCTCTCTACTATATCCGCTACTCGGACTCGCACCTCTTTCTATTTCCCGATGACCGATGCTTGCCTCCTCGTTTCCGGGGACACGCCGGAGGCACCAGTCTGCGCACGAACCATATGGACACATGGTTGTCGATCCTGTTTGAGCTGTCTGTTGCCTCCTTAGCGTGGTTTGGTCCATTTTCTAATGTTGAGTATTTGACATCCTCTGTCCTATGCGAGCCTTAACGCATGGCTATGCAGTGTGTGTAGGCAATAAACAAATATCAAACATGAGCTCCTCTCCGCTCCCGGCTCCGCCATGCTTGGCTCGATACCGGTGGGGTAGCGGCGGGGGGTGGCGCCGAGGGGTGGCGGAGGGTGGCGGTATCTGTGTCAGGGGGGTGCGGGCGGGGCGGGGCGGGGCGCGCCCGGCCGTACGGGCATTGACCTTACAGGGCGTGCCTTGGTGGGGGTGGAGGAAGGGCAGGGGGTGGAGGGGGGGACCCGGAAACTAGCAGGCGGAAGGGGGCGCAAAACGGGCGCGCGCGCACACACCCTCGGAGGGTAGCAAGCGGGGGAAGAAAAGAAATGTGACCAGATGGGGGAGATAAAAATAGGGGGCAAAGGATTATCTCTGGTTTTCAGAATGTTATTTCTTTTTATTGTTGGGCATGTTTAAAAGGAGGGTAGGGGGAATCATGTTATAAACCGTAGCATAAAGACGAAAGGATTTAAATCGGATTGAACATCGTCTTTCAGCATTAAGAGAGGACCGTAGAATAAGGTACCATCCTGCGAACGGGGCGAGACAGACAGATGACAGACAGTCAGACAGACAGACAGACAGACAAACAGACAGACAGACAGAGATGGAGCTAGAGATGAAGGAGGAGAGAAAGCAGAGAGAATAAGCGAGGGAGAGGTAGCAAAAGGCTACTCCGAAGGGGTTGCAGGTGACCTCGGGAGTTCGTTCACCTTGGCTGCTGCAGCCGCTGGAGCTGGTGGCGCTCTCCTCCCAGGCCCTCCCCCTCCCCCTGCCAAGGTCGCAGCCGCCTCCTCCCGACCAACCAACCCCCGGCCCGCGCCCGCCGCCATGGACCGTATCGACCCCGGAAGACTTCCGGTCTCTGCCGCCTACCGCCGTATGAGAAATTGCGGCGCGTTGAAGGAGGCTATGAGAAATCGCCGTGCATTGAGTAGGCGTCGCGGATATGTTCAGCGTCGTTTTCAGCTCCATGTGCAGTGTTTTCAGGTTTTTCTATTTGCACGGGGCGTATTTGCAAACACGAA